CGAGTCCCGCATCGGGCTCCCTGCTCAGCAGGAAGTCTGCTTCTCCCTCTGACCCCCTCTCGTGCTCTCTCTAATAAATAAAATATTTAAAAAAAAAAAAAAGAATGTAGCACCGTCTCTGTATATATTACATACTCAATAAATAAATGAAAACGTGAGAGCAGAGTTCACAACTATTCCTAAGGATGGCAGAATATGCAGAGATAGCTATTATCCACTCAACAGTTTCATACCTGACTCAAAATATTTGGACTTTGCCTCTAAAATCTGAGAATAATTAAGCATGTGAACAGTTTAGCACAGTGCCTAGTACAGTATGTACAAAATACATCCAGGAAAGAGCTGGAGCTAGAGACTATTTCTCTACTCTGTCCCACACAAACATGTTTAAGTGCTGCTCATTATGTAATCCAACTGCTTTTAAGATAGCGTTTATGCTTCTCTTCTAATGGGTTTTTTTTTTCCCTATATATAACTAACAAGCTATTGAAAGAAAAACAGAAGTTTTATCTCATCCAAATGCAACTGGGAAAATGTATCACTACATGATGCTTGTAAATGTCATATGTGGAGAGCTTCCAGAGACTCTTATTTCATGAAAAAAAAATGGCCAATATCACTGTCAGACATCTTATAGCTGCCACACAACTTTGTAATGCTGGACACAAAATAAGCAAGGTAACTTTATATTTTCTAAAAAAAATACTACTGAATAATCTAAAATTACTATGTGAATATTAAGAGATGTTCCTTTTAAACCAAGATGTATTCTGAAAAGCAATCAAGCAAAGAAATTTAACATCTACCACACACTATATAAAAATGGATTATTTAGGATACTTGCCCCTTGAGATATACAATATTACATAATGAATAGTTTTTATGACCCACTTAGCTAAATAAGCTCATGTTTCTTCTCATTTACAGAAGAGTTATTTAGTTTGGCTGCTGGATGTAGATTTTTGGTTTTATGAAAAAGAGTAATTGAGGATACTGCAGAGAGCCAAGACTTATATGGGCAGATGATATACCATATACTATTAGCCTTTACAAACAGCTAAGAAAGCAAACCTTAACCTTACGTATCAGTGTTACTCTCTTGCTTCAGGATAAGGATTATAAGTTTGCTTAAGAGTAGGATAAGAGTCAGTTCTGTAATAAACAAGTTCAGCTGTTTTCAAACAGATAAATACATTCTTAACTGTATGACTATCACAAAACCTAGGCCACCTTAACATGATATTTAATTCTACATAGTATTTTCAAATATTATCTTTTCTCCTCATAGGCCCCAATTCCCATTCCCTTCAATATTTATAGAGAATTCTATTTATTTATAATTATAGTGAGAACTCCAGGTGTGGAGAAAATGTGTGCTACTATTGCTAAAGAGATATATGATTTTATTTCATGAGATAATTTCCTCTACTTTTCTTAAGACTATTTCATATCTATCCATTTGTTTATCTAAAGTTTCTTGACAATTTAAAGGCAAGGTTATGTTAAAAATATAAGCCACAATTCCCGTTCTCCAGGAGTTTGTAGCTAATATTATACAAATTACTAGTAAAGATAAGATGAAGTTTAGGAGGCTAGTCACAAAACTGAGCGATACAGAACACAGGTATTCATTAAATAAAGATTTCTTTATCATAAAATGAGACAACAGAATGATTTTTGTTGCAAGGTATCTTGCTAAAAATATTTCATATTTTTAAAAGGATACCATACTAAAGAGCATCATTTTCTCTTCAAAAATTCAAGCTTTTAATAAGTTCATTAATTTTACAAATATTTAAATACATATAATATGCAAGGAAATATACCAAATACTGTGAAAAATGCAAAATTATAGAGAAGTTTGTTGGGGGGGGGGGGGCACCTGGATGACTCAGTCAATTAAGCATCTGCTTCGGCTCAGGTCATGATCCCAGGATCCTGGGATCAAGTCCCACGGCTGGCTCTCTGCTCAGCAGGGAGCCTGCTTCTCCCTCTCCCTCTGCGCCCCCCGCCCCCAACTCATGCATGCTCTCTCTCTCTCTCTCTCAAATAAATAAAATCTTAAAAAAAAAGTTTGTTTGGTCCTGTTCCCCAAGAGACTTACAATTCATTGGGGTCAGTACACATACCCCTTAAAATGCTTTTTCCTCTTGAGATACAAAATATGAATGAGGAAGTGTCAGAAAACATTTACTTATCCCCTACGTGTTTACCTGGTCTTGTAGTGACATCACTGGATTATTTTTGGTAGTGTTGATGTGAAGAACATGGTATTTATTCTTTGCACACAGGTCATAGGCAATATTGGTAAAGGAGGTGCTTGCAGTTTTGGGGACTCTGTTATAAATGATCACCATGTCCTCTTCCTCATCCAGCGCTGCCTCTTGCCGAGGACCATCCATTGTATGTCGCTGCTCAATTTCTCGAACTTCATGTCTTGCAATAGCCCTTTCTGCAAAGAAAAACAGTTATGAGTTCATTTTAAAGACAATGAAAATAATTTCCAATTCCTCGAACATAATTTTCCTATTCAAGAAATGAGTAAGAGCACTTGAAATGTTTTGAAGACCGAACATTCAGAATTACTCTTTGAAATATAATACACATGCATATACAGAACAACATAATAAACAGTCATCAAGTTTAGAATACCACAGACCGGAGACCGATGTAGTTCAAAAGTCACGCTATGTTTTTTTTTTTTTTTAGATTTTTTAAAAAATATTTTATTTTATTATTTATTTGACAGAGAGAGAGAGAGCAAGCACGGGCAGGGGGAGCGACAGGCAGAGGGAGAGGGAGAAGCAGACTCCCCAAGGACCAGAGAGCCTGACGCAGGGCTCAATCCCAGGACCCTGGGATCATGACCTGAGCCAAAGGCAGACACTTAACCAACTGAGCCACCCAAGGCGTCCCACACTACATTCTAATAGAATTTCTACAGCCTGAATTAACTCTCAAACACACAAAGACAGATTGCATGGAATACTAAACTTCACGGTAAAAAGTACATTTAGAAAATAAGTCATTTAGAATTTAAGCAAAGATTCTGAAATTTATACTTAGGATTTAATTACTCCCTCGTTTATCAAAAGGTAGCAGGGCAATGGTTATTTATAAATGCTGGAGTGATTTTAAGTAACAAGAGTAGAAACTATACCATTACAAATCCTTTTTCTTTTTGGTGTTGCAAGTCTTGGCTGTGTTTTGTTTTGTTTTTTAAGATTTTATTTATCTGTCAGAGAGAGAGAGAGAGCGCGCATACAAGCAGGGGGAGTTGCAGGAAGAGGGAGAAGCAGGCTCCCCGCTGAGCAAGGAGCCCTATGTGGGACTCAATCTAAGGACCACAGGGTCATGACCTGAGCTGAAGGCAGACGCTTAACTGGCTGAGCCACCCAGGTGTCCCAGTCCTGGCTATGTTTACTCCTTAAATTCTATGGTTCATCTAACTCAAATCACTACCATGCAGTTTGAAAAGCAGTTAGCATTTTGCATCCTATTACTATTATTCTCTATTTAATATAAGCTTTAGCTTTGAATGTTTTTTAGAATAAGGAAGCAAGAGAGGGGGAAGAGAGAAATGAGGGGATAAAAACCTCTAACACGATTACAATTACCTTGCACAGAGACACATACCGTGCACCCTCCTACCACCAGATCTTTGTGCAGCTCTCTCACACTCTTCCATTTCTCCTGTACCCTAATGCTGCCTGGTGAATTCCTCAACCTCCACATGAAATGTCATCACTGCTCAAAGGGGAAGTATTATCTGATCTCCCTAACTAGGTAGAATCACACACACAATGCATGCATATGTCCCACATACCACATGTCTCATAATAGCAATTTTTTAATATTGTATGTGTTATTAGTATCTGTCTACCATAAACCATGACTTAATACAATGACATGAAAAAGCAATGAGGTATAATTACAGTAACAAGCGCAGGCTTTAAATATTGTCAAACCATGAATCTTATATTTTGGTTCAGAAGATATACCACATTATAGAAAATACACTCTGAGCTGAGGGTTCACATTCACAAGACTTGAATAAAAGTTCCAGGCCTGTGGGCTTTCCAAAACAGGAGGAGTAGTGCATATATTTATCTATATGTATATGCATATATGTTTCCTTTTTTTTTTTTTCTTCCCCTTGGGAGAGTTGGACGAGAATGTGCAGAGAAGGAAATGAGCTTAATGTTGAACACACTGTTGGATTGCCTGGGATATCCAGGAGATGTTATGTAGATAATTGGGCACATAGGTCAAGAGTTGAGAATAAACATTCAAGTAGAAGATATCTGGGAAAACCATGGAAATGAATGCAACTGCCTAGATAATCTAGAATATGTAGCATGGGAAAGAGACTCTGGGACAGAATCTCAGGAAATACCAAAATTTAAGTAGCAAGTAGAGATAATCTATAGAAGGAGGCTAAGAAGAAAGAGAAAGGAAGCAGGGCAGACTTAAGAATCACATGCTACATGATAGAAAGCATAATACTTTTCAAATTGACAGTGCTTTCCAAATGGACCTATAAATCAAGGTAATATATGAGGTTACAAGCATCTACATAAGATCTGGAAGCTATCTCAGGTTGAGAACCTACATACATTATTATATTCAATAATTTTTAAGGACTCTTATCTCCCAAACAACCTCAAACTGTCATCAGATCCAAAACTATTACAATATTGTTAGGTACATACACCATCCTCTTTCAACAGAGGGAAATAAAACAGTTCCGCTGTCATTCAAGGGCTGACAGAAGCGTGAGAGGTCTCCTCTAGCAGCCCAGACGTGCAACAAATTGCCTTTAAAAGATTCACCTACGAGCAACAATGCTGATTTGACTTTAACTGGTTTTTCTGAAATCAAGTACTTGGAAAAGAAGACTTCATGTGTTATTTCATATACGGGTACCCCTTTTACCTATAGAATACTTAATGACTAAAGAAAATCTGCAACATTAATAGTATTTATAATTATCTACTTAATAAAATTTTATATGCCCAACAAATTGGGAAAATCAGCTACTAAATTAAAAAAAATTTTTTTTTTTAAAGATTGTATTTACTTATTTGACAGAGAGAGAACAAACAAGCAGGGGGAGCAGCAGGGAGAGGAAGAGGGAGAGGCAGACTCTTCGCTGAGCAGGATGCCCCATGTGGGGCTCGATCCCAGGACTCTGGGATCATGATCTGAGTCGAAGGCAGACATTTAACCAACTGAGCCACCCAGGCGCCCCTTAAAAATATTTTTAAAAAGAAGTGATCATTTAGTCTGTGGATTCTTAAAATTTTTTTGTAGTGATAAAACTCTAGCCAGACCATGTCACATGTTGTAAAAATTAATCACAGTTCTTGGTTCATCATGGTATTAAATTATATTCAGTATATATTAACACAATTTAAAAAGACTTCTATGCAACAGTGCAAATATGGGAGTCAATACTTTCCTCATTCAATAACATATTTATATGCATTTTCTATTTTTCAAGTGTTTTTACTTTGCTTTAACAAACAGGATAATTATTAACATAGTGTTATGCCTAAAACTACATAAAAAGATAAAAACAGTGGAATGTCAAGAGCATTTTTGTTAGGAATATTTGTTTATTACATCAAATCTCGGGGCGCCTGGGTGGCTCAGTCAGTTAAGTGTCCGACTCTTGATTTCGGTTCAGGTCATGATCTCAGGGTCCTGAGGTGGAGCCCCGAGTTGGGCTCCATGCTCAGCGGGGAGTCTGCTTGAGATTCTCTCTCTCCCTCCCCGTTCATGCTTTCTCTTTCTCTAAAATAAATAAATAAATCTTTTTAAAAAAATCAAGTCTCGCTTAGTTGAATAATAGTAATAACTGCTGAGGGTAAAATACTATCTCTTTCCACCTGTGACAAATGTGAAATCAGTAAGGGTGTTTGCAATATAGCCATATTCTTTACTTACTAGGTATTTGACAGTTCCAATTCTTTTTTATCAAAGATGCTCTACATCTAGTTAGTACAGCTTCTTCCGAGATCTCTTAAATCAATGGGGAAGCTTTATTAGTTACAGCACATTTGTAGTGCACTTAGAGAATGTAGGCAGTAACTTAAAATACTTACGATGCTTTCTGAAGTAATGCTTTTCTTCATGTTTGAGTAATGAATTATAAAGAATCTGCTACGCAAGGTATTTCAGAACCACCACAAAATGGGTAGCCTACAAACAACATGGGGTGCGATCCGAGAGTCATGAAATTACAGACAAGCCAGGCACCAGTGGTACTAACGTGCACAACACTGAAGACAGACACTGAACTCCACGGCGATTCTAGTTCTTCTAGGCTCCTGCACAGGGTGGCATATATCTCAGCTCAGTGAAACCTTTCCTTGTGGCAAATTATCAACAAACTCAAGTCTTTTAAAAGACCATTCATAACAGCAGTAATTACCTATTTCTGCATTGGCAGGGCATTAAAGGCCTTATTTAGGGCCAGAATGTAATGATCAAGCTAAATATAAAACACTGCACTAAATACACCAAACCAGATCCTACACAGCGTTAAAGTCACAAAAATGTATCAGACTACAGAAAAACAAAAGAAAACAGAAGTGAAGATTTTTTTTTTAAATCACAACACATCTTTTAATGACAATTTTTTTTAACATTAAGATTATTGTTTTGGGGAACACCTTTTCTCCTTGAACATGTTATTAAATGTTCAATGTACTAAATAATTTAACTTATACATTTATAGAGAAATAAGAGAAATAAGTTTTGTGTTTTATACAAATTAAAGGACCCATGCATATATAACTCTCTCCCCCTGCCACAGCTCAATTTTAAAATGGTCTCAGCAGAAAATAAATACTTCACAAATGTCCAAAATGTGTAGCATATCTCTGTATTGTGGATAACAGATTAGGACTTAAGGGAGAAAAGAAATAACAGAAGGAAAGAGCAATACATTGCCTTGTTTTCAAATACTGAAACTTCTGCATGTTAAAGTAAAAAATATATAGTTAGAATACATGGGGTGCCTGGGTGGCTCAGTCATTAAGCGTCTGCCTTTGGCTCAGGGGATCGAACCCCGCATCAGGCTCCCTGCTCGGTGGGAAGCCTGCTTCTCCCTCTCCCACTCCCCCTGCTTGTGTTCCTGCTCTCGCTGTGTATCTCTCTGTCAAATAAATAAATAAAATCTTTAAAAAAAAAAAATACAAGTAAATATGTAATAAATAAAAGGAATACTGAGAAAAAAATTACCAGATTTTAATATTTACAATTATAAGAAAAACACAGAAATGGGCAAGACACTATTAATACTTCAGGAGATAATAAGCTAAGATGGTTCATAAGAGATTTAAACCATATATGCATGACAGGGCAGAGCAAAAGTATTAGTGGCATCATGACTTTTTGGGTCATAAGAGTATGATAAAAACTATGGACCCTTTCTCCAGAAAGACT